GCGCGGGGAGGCAGCCGCTCGCGCTGTGGCGGCTCCGCATCTTTCTTTCTGGTGCTGGTTCGGGCTTTCAGCGGGAAAACGGCACTGCCCCCCGCACCCGGTGGTGTCGGTGCGCTCGGGCCGTGCCCGGGCTGCGGGATGAGCTGGCTGGAAACTTAGCGAGACCCCGTTTTGAGCGGGCTGCCAGAGCTGCCAGAGCTCTGTGGTGGCTGCTGCCTCGCCCGGGTGCCTCGGGGTGACCCGGATCTGCAAACTTTGCCGAATCGGGGCTTTAAAAGAAAACTTCGTTGTTGGCGTTAGAGGAGTTAGTGGAGACAAGCGTTGAATTTAATATCCTATTCAGCACTGAATAGACGTAAAATCTTGATGTATCATAACTAAGGGATGCCGTTAATGCTGTTTTACTGCTGTCAAGTACAGTGTTGTGAACTGTATTTTTTATTATCTATGTATCTGTATCTGTTTTGCATGTTATTTTCTTTAAGTAAAACTGGACTGGGTTCATTTCATTTCCTGGTTTCTGTGCCCTTGGATTCCCCCTGCCTCCGTAATGCAGTCCAAACTTTATTTTAAAATTGCTTGTAACTTCTAAGTCTTTTCTAAACATCCTTAGTCCAAAACCTAATTGGCTCTGCCTTTTAAAAGTGGTTACTGATGTGGATAAGATTTTTATCTACAAGGAAGGAGCTAATTTAAATAATTACAGCAGCAGGATGTGTTAAGTGTACCTTGCAGAAATACTATGCAATGGAGGACTTCACTGCCTTGAAAGGAAAATGAACCAAATCGTTACATACTGGATCCAGCAATTCCTACCCATGCTAAATGAACAAAGTTGTTCTCAGTCTGCCTGGAGTGACATACTGTCAGCTCATCGCTTAATCAACAGGGGAGCATAAACTTATGCCAATTAAATTACATTTTTTTTTAGAATAGTCAAAACATAATGCCACAGAGATGCTACTGAACGAGCAACATCCATCCACCAGATGCTGTACGTAGCAAGAGCAACTCCCCTAATTCGAAAAAAAAGGCTTTGTAGGCACTACTCGCTAATTTACACTACATGTTCACGAGATTTCTGATGTGTTAGGAGGTGCTTTCCACGAAGAAGTTGTGCTTAGTTGGGCACTGTTGTGTTTCCCAGAATGGATGTAGTTTTTGCTGCTCTCTGACCCTGTGGCCAGACCGTGCCAGTCCATGCAGTGAAACACTCAGGATTTAGAATGAGGGGGCTGTATGCAAACGGCCTACAGATAACTTAGATGATGTGTAGGTTTGAGTTGTTTAATTTACTGCAGTACCTTAGTGTTTCTGCAGGGAATCTTTTTTTTTTTTTTTTTTTTTTTCTTTTTTTTTTAAATAAAGGCCTGTTTGTGCGAAGCCCCATCAAGGCTCCAAGGGGATCCTTTTTCTCATGCTAACCTCAAAGAACAGGGCGGAGGAAAACGCTGCCTCATCTATGACAATTTGCAGGATTGATCCCCTTTGGTATTGAAGTTATTATTTGCTATCATGATAGCATCTGGTATAATCCTCCAGCTGAAGGATATCCCCTTTCAGTTCCTAAGTTAAACCAAAGGACAGGCTGAGCTGTTTCTGTTTTCTTTAGAGAACGTCAGCTTGCCCTTCAAGTTGTACTGCCTCACGGTGATGACCCTGGTTGCTGCCACGTACACCGTAGCCCTGCGGTACACGCGCACCGTGGAGACCGAGCTCTACTTCTCCACCACGGCTGTGTGCATCACTGAAGTCATCAAGCTATTCCTAAGTGTGGGCATCTTGGCAAAGTAAGTGCGCGAGTGCTCATTAGTGTTTTGACAACGAATCCCTCCTTGTCAGCTCCCAGGTGCCTGCAGTGCGGGTAGGTTTGCGTACCTCCCTGGAGAATCATGTTCTGGAGGGGCCGTTTTAGAGCAGCTCAGGGAGTTTGTGAAACCTCCTCAACTGAAACTGCAGTGTAAACAGCACAGTATCCAGGTGTGTCCTTCCTGCATGCTTCCTGTGTGCATGTGCTTGGAGTGGGTTCAGCGTGTCAGTGGGGATTATCAACGGTGTGCTGGGTCCTCAGCTGAAAGCTCGGCAGGGCTGCGACCTGCAGAGCTGCGGAAATTCAAAATGTTCCTACTACAGAATTTCCCCCAATGACATTACAGGCAGACAGACAATTTGCTGCTTCTGTTAACACGGGGAATAAAGTTGAAGGATGGAGGGATATCCAGAATGCCACCAAGGACTAGCAGTGGTGTCCCCGTGTGCGCACCCAAGGATGTACGGAGGCTGCCAGCCATGGAAGCATCCTTATGCTCCCGACATTTCCAAATCCCAGCACTTACTATTTGGGTAGAATTTGCTCTTTTAGGGTCTCTACTTCCCTCTTTGTGACTTTTGGTACCTCAGAAGGCCTGTCTGTTTTGTGGTAGAGAATCATGAGCTCACATGGGGTATTTCTGTTTCTTACCAGATCTTTTCTTCCTGACATGAAAGTGGTATTTTACTTGCAACTGAGCAGCTGAGGCAATTTTTTTTTAGATCTTTTGTTAAATGTAATGTGTTAGAAAAGGCAAATGTGACAGATGCCAGATTTGGAAGAGCAGTTCCCTAGGCTCCTCGCTGGGCCTACGCAGGATGTTACCAGAGGTGTCTCTGCTGCTGAGTGGTTGCGCTGCGGTTCTCACAGTGCTGTGGCCAGTGTGGATCCGGTGATCCCCATCCAGGCTGTGTCCTGGAGGCCTCAGCGGCCAAGGTCTCTGACCAGCCCAGGACCCGTGGGTGGGATTTGGTAGCCAAATGTCCCCGTGTAATTTCCCAAATCTGTTCTTGTGTACGTGGGACCCTGGCTGTCCACAGTGTCCCCAAGAGGCCTAGTTGCAGCTGGGTAGCAGTAACCTGTCTTTCGTTAAGGGTCGATAACATTGGTTTCGTTAAAAGTATGAATTGTCTTTTTGACTGCAATAATGTAAAAGGCCCTTGCTTTTGATGCAGGAGTCTGTCACACTTGTCAGAGCAGCCCCGCACAGGCACGAGTCCCCGAAAGGCCCTGTCCTCCCTTGGGCAAGGCGCACGGGCAGCAGGGCAGGCCCAGGCCGTGGCACTGCACAGCCTGTGGGGTGACGCTGCGGCTGCAGCCCCAGGTGATCCTGTCTGCGGAGACACTGCCCCGTTTCTCTTTCGGACTGTTAGTCCCTGTAACACCTGGGAGCGAGTTCTGCAGCGTGATTATACAGTGAGTGAGAAGTACTCTCATGTAAGGAGTTTACTTCATAATTTCACTGGATGCTCTCTTGTTGTGTTAAAATACATACTGAATATTTTTTGCCCCTTCATATTATTTCTATTTTCTCAAACGTCTGTATCTCCTTAGATCTGAATTATATTTTCATCACTTACCTCTCTTTCCAGCTAAGGAGGCCTAGTCTGATTTCCCGGTGATCCTTCTTGGCTCCTTCTCACCCGGCCTTGCAGTTTTGTTGCAGCCCTTTGAAACAGGAGCCAGAGCCTCAAGCAGTGTGCAGGATCTGAAGGCACTGTGGCCCTGTGCAGAGCACTACAGATGCCTTCTGTCTCGGTGTTGTTTCCTTCCTCAGGAATTCGTAACATCCTCCTCGTTTCTGTGCATGCAGCTGGGCCTCCAGCTGGCCCTTGTGCTGAAGTATTCCCATCTTTTTTACCCATGGGTCAACAAATGGTTTAGGGCTGGTTGCTCTGCTCTGGGGTTGTTATCTCCCATGATTATTTCTTGTGTATTGACACTTGAGTTTTGTTTGCCATTTAAGAGACCTGTCACTTAAAACAGGACTAATCTGACTAACCCGTCTTTGTAACGGTTATATATCTATTCTGATCTGGTCAGGCAGTCTTTTCCAATAGCTGAGAGACAGGGAGAAAGGGGTCACCCCCAGGCAGCTGCTTTCTCACCTCTTGTGGCAGGATGTCTCACTTGCTGCTGGGCTTGGCTTTGTTCCTTTACTGCCGAGATGACTAGAAAGCTGTTGCTCAGATGGCTTCTGGGATGAGGTGAATTCTACTTGATGTAGCAGGAGACCCTTTTGCACTTAAATTTGCCTTCTCCTTGTCATGTATAGTTTAGTATAAGCAGCAAAAAACACCAGTTTGCTGGTAATCTCCCATTTTAGGCCAGTTATGGATACATTAACAGTGCAAGTTCCAGCATAGTTTCTTGCCGTGTCTGTTTGACAGCTTGCTTTTAAATTTATAAACATTTACTTTGTCTCGTGTGAGAGGAGGTGCCTTGGTAGTTAAAAGCTATAAGACAGTCTTTTTGTTTGGTACTGTTGGGTACATTTGAGTACCTTTTTATTGCTGCAACAGCCAGTGCTATTACGGCCTCATATGGGATATGGAGGAAATTTGATTCTCAAATTGTTCAGTTACAGAATTTGTTTTCTTAGGCCCTCTTTCCTGATGCCTCTGCTGTGTTTACTTTTGGGGTTTCTCCTGCAGGGTGTATTGAGTGAGTGAATGAATGAGTGTCAAAAGGTTGTGCTTCAAAAGGGAAGCTTACGGTTGTCTTAAGCTGTGTAGTTATTCATTCAACTGTACGCTACAGGAAAAGAGTCGATTTCTCATATTTACTTAAAGTTTAACTGACCATTTGGTAATTACGCTTTCTTTGTTCCTAGATGATATGTTAAAGTTTAACTGACCATTTGGTAATTATGCTTTCTTTGTTCCTAGATGATATTTCTTAGCAATGGAGCAAGAGAAACAGAACTGTTTTGCAAACGCTAGTTTCAATTTGAGCTTTTTAAACAAATGTGTATTTAAGTTACAGAAGTGATTGCTATTGGAATCTCTTACGTATTCAGACCTGTGAAGAAATCAATTTTCCGAGTCAAATGAAAAGAAACATCAAGAAAGTTGAATTCAAGCCAGATGAGTTTTACTTCCTCATTTTGGTTTTGCAGTGTAATCTTTGGTTGTATTATAAGATATATACCGAGAAGATTTTCTTTAATCCTTATAAGGTATATACCGAGAAGATTATCTTTAATTGATCGAAACATGGTCTTTGTACTGTATTGAACGTACAGTGAGAGCTCTTGGTAAGTGCATGATCCAGAAAGCAAAGCCGCTGCAAAGATGTAGATGGTTCATCTTCGTGCTCCCCAAAACTGGAGTGAAAATGGTGCTCATGGAGCACTCCCTATTCTTCACTGATGAAATCCCACAGCAGAAGTCACAAGTAGGTAGAAACAGCTTTTACTGCTGTGGTTTGAGATCGAATGTTGCTTTTCTTACAGATCTTCATCTCCCAGTGGCAAGCAGTATGAGAAATTATTGAGGAATCAATGAGCTGATGACACTAATAGGTGTCTGCTCTGCAGATACTGTGTCTGGGGCTGTCCCCTGTAAACAGCGCGTTGTCTGGCAGAAGTGTCAGCCCCGTGCAAATGCACCCTTAAATTAAGATAGAGTTTTCCATGTGATCTTGCTTGTGCAGTGGGAAGTGCAGGAAACCAAACTTGCCTCTGGTAGATGTGCTCCAACTGATTGGTTTTCGTGGCCGCTCTCTGCAGCTGCCCGTATCCAGAAACAGTCTCACTAAGGAAGGGAGAAAAGGAGATGTGTCCTGGGCATCAGACACTGAGTAGGGCAAGAAAGGAAAGGAAGCTGGATGGAAGGATCAGGAGATGATGGAGCCCAGAAATCTTGAGGGGCAAAGTTTAAGAATCTGCAGCAGAATCGAGAGGAATCAGGAATAGAGAGGCCACAGGAATGGGTAGCTTGCAGAGGAGCCTATAGGCCTGGGATGATGGAAGAGCATAAATTTTGCATATTAAGAGTTTGGGAGGTAGATAACTGTGCTTTTGTAGGAGGAAATAGGGTGGCATATGAGTGAAATGTGTGGGACTGGCCTCTCAGGCTCTGCGGAGGGCATGAGCCCTGTGTTTGTTCATACAGAGGGACAGGGGAAGCCCAAGGAGCGTTAGGTTTCGGGGGAGTGCAGGTATGTTTAAGGAATGCAGGTGAGCAGCCTGCAGCGTGACTCGGCGGGACCGAGTGACCTTGGCAGAGGACACCAACAAGGGGTCCACACATCCAATGGCCAAGCAAGGTTAAGTGGCAAATGTGGAGCGTAAGGCACAGATATGGGGGGAAAAAGAAAACAAGTGGCAACCTTCTCTTCCTGCCTCGTGTACTTACTTGTTCCCCTGTTTGCAGTGTTTGTGGTTGCTGTACGCATCTAAAATCCCAACTCTAGAATGTCTTTTTCCCCCCTCCCCCTTCAGTGGATTTACTTGTTGAGAACCTCATTTTTTTTCAGGTTAATTTTTCTTTTAATCAGCATAAGGTATAACTGATTATTAAGAAAAACATTTCAGCTTTCCCAAAGGATTCATTGGCTTGATTTTGGTTTTCAAATACCAGGGGAAGAGGGCCTCCCATTATGTTAACATTTTATTTTGCAGAGAAACTGGAAGTCCTGCAAGGTTAATGACATCTTTAAAAGAAAATGTGTTGGGAAGTCCTAAGGAATTGCTAAAATTAAGCGTTCCATCTTTGGTGTATGCGCTCCAAAACAACATGGCTTTTGTGGCTCTTAGCAACTTGGATGCAGCAGTTTACCAGGTAATGAACTTTTTTTACGTAACTGATCTGTGAATCTGTTTCTTTTTACGGTTTCACGTGCCCAACACAGAGCTCCCCCTCCAATCCTGCTTTGAAAGCGAAGGGGTGCTTCACTGTGTGCTGAGCTGTTGTAGTGCTCTGCTTGTTGGAACTGATGGAGGTTGAAAATTCACCCTGCTGTAACGGAAAATGGCAAAGATAAAGAAGGGTCCCTGGGAAAATCAACGAGCATAAAATTGCATTTGTCATTCTGTAGTTGAATCGTCCGTTTCCTCGTTTAGGAGGAGTTCACAGTGCCGGGGGCTCTTCCCTCTCTCTTCAGGTGACGTACCAGCTGAAGATCCCGTGCACAGCCCTGTGCACAGTGCTGATGCTGAGCCGTTCCCTGAGCAAGCTGCAGTGGCTCTCGGTGTTCATGCTGTGCGGCGGCGTCACGCTCGTGCAGTGGAAGCCTGCTCAGGCTACCAAGGTGCAGGTGAGGGCCTGGCTGCACCTCTGCGTGACACAGAATAAGCTGCCTTGAGCCTTGTATTTCATTTCACAGTAGCTAGGGAATAAAGTGGTGCCTCTCACATTGCACACAGCGGGATCCAGTTCTTATTCCCAGCCACTTCACTTACAGCAGAAACATGAGCTTGATCTTTTACTTTCAAATCTACCATGCACCAGTTCAGGCAGTTCAGCCACGCGTTGCCACAGTTAGTATAAATCACCCCAGTGGGCCACATCAGTCTAGTGGCAATGAACATCACAGCAGTATCTGAGCAGGATGTTGTTTCCAGCACTTGGCCTTGGTAGCGCTGCAGCTGCTGGAGCAGAAAACTTGGGATCAAGGCCTAGGGATTGGGCCACAGCAGCTGCATGGGGGTAGGCCTGAGCACACCCTGCTGGAGACACTGACCTCATCCTGGGAAGAAAGCAAGAGGCTGCTGCTGCTGCTCAGGCTTTGGCCGCTGGTCATCACGCTCCCAGGAGAGGAAGGTTGTGCAGCTGCAGGGCCGCAGCCAGGCAGCCCGCGCTGCCGGGGCCGTCACGTAACCAGAGGGTTATCGTTGTCATGGGCTCAGAGTGCCTCTGGAAGGGATGCTGATACATTACTAAGTGCTGCGTTTTTTAACACACCAGTTGCTGTTGCAGGTGGAGCAGAATCCCTGGCTAGGATTTGGAGCAATTGCTGTTGCTGTCTTATGCTCAGGATTTGCAGGTAAAGTATTAATTCAGTATACAGCTCATCAAGAGCCCTGGCTCAACTCACGATGTGTAGAACAGGACACTTTACAGTGCTTAGCTATCTCTGTTGATTAGCAAAATAAATAAGGACTTCATCCCCTCTGCCCATAATTACCCTCTGTGGGAGGTAATTATAAACCAGACTTATGACGTGGTTACTGTACTTGTGAAACAAATGCCTGGGAGCAGGGGCTGCTGCATTTACATGCTGCAACCAACTGGAGACTGGTTTGCAAGTGGAGGAACCTTCCAGGTCCTGACTAAGGGGAACCTCTTCAGTGACTCACTCAGTGAGCTTATTAGTACACACATTTTATAAAATTGGCTTCACAGTGAATAGTTCTCTCACAGTGATGATCGCACGAAACACTTGCATTTTAGGGGGAGTGGAATTGAGCTCCTCACTTTTTTTTGTCACTGTTTTTTTTGCTTGGCCATGCCCCAGCACACACCATGCACCAGTACAGTCTGCAGGAGCCCTGCAGGTGGTTATCTGGGATGTGAGGCCACAAGTAAGTTGAAGGAGGAGGCCGTGCTGCACTACGTGAAGCGTTTCTTTGCAAACAGCTCTTCTCCTTAGAGTAGTTTCTCTGTCTCCTACTTACACAGGAGGCAAGAACTTGAGGACAAGTGAGCTGGTACTCAAAACTAAGGAATGCAATTACTACTTAATTTGTTACAGAATTCAGGGACATTTTTTTTTTCCTGGCTGTAGGCTAGACTTCCCCCCTCCCTGCCAGAGAACAAGGTGTTGCCACCCACCTCTAGCACTACACGGTTTTGCAGATCACCCTCTGCAGCATGTACGTGGAGAACATGCTGAGCTGAGCAGCAGGGAGGGAAGGGAGCCAGGCTTGCTTTTCCTTTGGCCTTTTTTAGATGAAATGGCCACTTGGGAGTAAAAATTATCAATGAGACCATGCAGAGCTCACTCAACTTTCCTTGGAAGGAGCAAAATTTCCTGCCGCAGCTGCTCGCAAGCTCTGGGAGCGCAGAGCTGCAGCTCTCCTCTCCAGCAAGCGCAGCGCAGCCCCACAGGGCCTTGGCGTTTGCATGGTGAAAACATGAGCCCTCATTTCCTCCTGCTCCTTCCCCACCCACAATGTGAAGAAGTTACGTGAAGACCCCGTTAAGTAAGTGGTTTATGTAATTCCAACTAAGAGCAAAAAGTTACTTTTTTTTTGTCCTTTGGAGATGGAAAATAATCTTCCTTCAAACTGCTGACTCGCTGATGATTTCCATGTGATTTCTGAGGGCCCAACAATGAAGGGCTTTGGCCAAATACAGAATGACACATCCCTTGTGACTTGAAACAGCCCTGAAGAGCAATTTCTCTTAAGCATCATCCACCTTTCCCCCCCCCCTTTTTTTGTTACTTTCTCTTAGAAAGCTGAAAACGCCCTTTCATTGGCTTAGTTACTATTTTCATACTTCACAACATTTACCTGTATGTTTCACACTGGAGCTGAATTCCTCGCAAACTGACTGAACCTTGTTGTGCTCTGCAAGTTCTCCTTTGAGGCAGGGAGCCCAAGGGAGACTGCTGAGGATTTTTTTTAAGTACTACAGTTATTAACAAGAGGAGGGTTTTTGATGCTGTTTAGGCTTGCAAAAATGTGTTCATATGAGATAATATTCTCTTTCCTTGTGCAGCTTTTTGTGTTTGAAGACCTCCACTATGAATATCTTCTCTATTTTATTCACTAAATGTATTTAATATATATCATATTGAATTCTTTCTTGTGCTTTTAATGAGTTTAAGAGCATCAAGACCTTCCTTGAAACCAACTTGGTTATTTGAGGAGGAATTTGTGTGTCTAGGTCTTCTAATACAAAGGCCTGATCTCTGTGCTACCCTTGTTCAACATCCCTTGTTGGGGATGAATAAAATTGAAAAATTCAAGTCAAATTAATGATTAATGAATATTAAATTGCTAAGAATATCTCTGACCTTTATTAGAACCAGAAGAATAAATGGTAACTGTATGGGCCTGTGACTAGATGAAGAGTAGAACTGCTGATGCTGTTTGTTCAGAATAGTTTCCCTTTTGTGAAGGTTTCCATTTGATACTTTAAAATATCCAGAGCGGGGGGAGGAAATCCTTGCACACCGTATGAAAACCTAACTACCACCTCGAGGTTAAGAGCACAGGTGCCAAGGTAGATGGTTTTTCTAGTGCAGAAAGGCCCATGAGACACCTGGCTGGAATCACAGACCTGGCAGCTCCAGACAGAAATGAGAAGTGATTCCAGCAGGGAAGCCATTGACAACCAAAAACAACTGTGAAAGGAAAGTGTGCTTTTGATGTTATGGAAGAGTGTACAACTTTTGATGTTATGGAAAGTGTATTATGCTTTGATGTATGTGAAAGGATTCATTCTGTCCTGAAGGATGTGCCTTTGTGGCACATGTTGGGCCTCCTACACTGTGTGAACTTAATGATCCTGTGTGGACTTAAAACAACTTTACTGAAAAGTATTTGTTGGGTTTTGTTTTCCTAGGAGTTTATTTTGAAAAGGTTTTGAAGAGTTCAGATACTTCCTTATGGGTGAGGAATATTCAGATGTACTTGTCTGGGATTGTGGTGACTTTATGTGGTGTCTACATGTCAGAAGGAGCCCAAGTTCTTGAGAAAGGCTTCTTCTACGGCTATACATCCTACGTCTGGTTTGTCATATGTAAGTAGGCTGTGGCTTTAGGCTCGGGTTACGTTGGTTTGCTTTTATTCACCTATGGTCCAAGTGATGGAACCTGCAAGCTCAGTCTGGCCCACTGCTTTTCCCTGTTTTGAGAGATTGTTAAATTATTATTTTCTTTGGAATTACTTGCTCAATTTCAGTGTCTGGAAACAGCACTGAGTAGCAAGGAGATGATCTGTACTTGAGTCACGTTTTACCTGCTAGACGTCAAATAGGCCTGTAGTTTCGCTGTGTTGCTTTAAATTGCCTATTAGGACTACATAGTCCAGGCAAGGAAAGTATTAATGGAATAAAATATATCCCTTTGTGTTACCTCTAGCTCCTTCGCTCATAGAACTCTGCTCTCTGCTTTCCAGTTCTTGCCAGCGTGGGCGGCCTCTACACATCTGTGGTCGTTAAGTACACGGATAACATCATGAAAGGCTTCTCCGCGGCTGCAGCCATCGTCCTTTCCACCATCGCCTCCGTCGTCCTCTTTGGGCTGCAGATCAGTAAGTAGCTTGTGGCCAGCGCTCCGGTCTCGCGCGCGGGGTTCAGGCAGGCCGGGGCGCTCTCTGGGGCGCGTTTCTGCAGCTTGAAAGTCCGCTCTGCTGAGTGTTACCTGCCATCAGTGCTACGCAAGCCCTCCCGTTTGCTGTGCCCGTGGTGACGGGGGTCAAGATTTATATAGGAAATATTTTTGAGAGGAAGCAGCTGAAAGGCTTGGGCTGTCGTGCAACTTCAAAGGATTTTCTCCTTGTTCAGTTCCCTGTCTGATATCATGCTCAGTCCTTCACTGTTTTTTGGCTCTGTGTGATGGTGGAAGGAGCAGCTCTCTGATACGGCGTTAGTGAGGGGACACTTAACCAAAGTTGCTGTAAAGAGAAGAGCCTCACAGCCCTGCTGAAAAGTAGCACCTTAGATCAAGTGATGAAAAACACAAGCAGTTCTAAAAACCCGGCTGAACAGAAACATTTTCTTGATGGCTGACACAAATAAAGCACGGATTGATGGTCTTTCTGCAGAAACTTCATTTATAATACTTGTCACGTGTCTAGATTTGTAAAGGCATGGAGAATGCCTTATGACAGACTTTTTAATCCCACTGTGCTTATCATGAGTTTATTCTAATACAATTATGAGATGTGGAGAGCTGGCAGAGCACACCTGGAGCTGCAACAAGAGGTCTGTGCTTGGTTTTTCTCACCCCATTCTTGCTGATGTGCAGCTAACTGAAATGGCAGAGAAACTGAGGAGTTTTCAGACAGGGATTCTAGATTTTACAAATTAGCTAACAGCTAATAGCTATTCCCATTTTGTCTCTTTTTCAGCTCTTACCTTCTTCCTGGGTGCTCTCCTGGTGTGTATTTCTATTTACCTCTATGGATTACCTCGACAAGACACTACAAAAATCGAGCCCTCAGAGACCAAGAGCTCCAAAGAGAGACTGGTTACTGTGTGACACTGTCCGTGACAAAAGGACACAGAAAATAGTCCATTTTTTCCAATGGACTGGAAAAAAAAAATGATCTTTTTTTTTTTAAATAGCCTTAAGCTAGTCATGAGACAGTTTAAGTGGGATAGAATAAAAGCAGAAGTTAGTTCTGTTTTACATACAAAGTTTTTCCAGTGGCTGCTGCTGAGGCTACGTTGTTGCCAAGGATGTGGACAAGTGTTTTATTAAAGGCGTCTTCACCTGCGTGGGACAACAGCGAGTCCCGTTTGCAAGGAAAACAGAATGAAGGAACTGAACATCATTTGTATATACTGCACATACTGGAGGAAAATGGGGTTCTTACTGTGTGTTTGATAACTCGTATTGCCCTTTGAGGGCAGAAATGCCCCAAAGCTTCTAGAAACTCTATTAAAAAGAGCACTTACTGCCAGCATTTTCTTTACACCATGTGGCAATTGCAGTTTCGTTGATCACAGGAAAAGTCTGCCTTATAGGTAAATACACATCATTAACAGAATACACTATTAATGAAAACACAAGTGAAATATTTCTTAAATGCAGCCAAGTCAGGCCATCTTCACTTCAACCATATTCGTGCATTATGTAGCTAGAAGGAATCAGAAGTGGCCCTTGCTAACTATGAGAAAATGATTTTTAAATGATTTGAAAAGTAATAATGAAAAACTGGTATTACTCTTAAAATCATTTAAAAAGTGAATGCAACTTACTATCTCCTGCTGCTGCTCTTAGAGGAGGGTTTTGTTTTGTGCTACTTGTCAAACAACTCCAGAGGAACACCATGATGCAGGTAAGTGCTCTCCTATCTCTGCTTAGTAACAAGGAATCAGAGCAAGGCATTGGACTAGTTGATTTTTATCTGTCTCTGAGTCCTTTTGTGCATTACAAAGTGATACCTGAAAACAGTTTTTGTAATGTAAGGCTTTGATTTAATTAAAAAGTGCCAAGTCTGTAGTTTCCCACTTCCCCCCAACTCTGAGGCCCTGCTCAGCCCATTTGTGGGCACTGCTGCGTACACGGGTGTCCACGCACACTCGTGACATGAAGCTCTGGGAGGAGGTGACAAGGAGGCGGAGGCCGCGCCGCAGCGGCGGCGCCTGCCCGCTCCACACTCGGTGTGACGCTGCGCGCGTTTCCGCGCACACATGGAGCTCCCACGCTGCATCAGCAGGCACTCACAGCAGCCTATTCATATCCTCTTGGAAAAAGGCAAAACCCACCTTTTCCACTAAGGTGTCTGGCTCTTTGCTGCATACAGCTCTGTTACATCTGTGTTACAGGTGTGATGCCGAGGAGCTTCATTCCATTAGCGAGAACGGAGCGTGCGGCGCGGAAGAGGCAGAGCCTTGCCTGCAAAATAGCAACACCCTCACTTAGCACTGCGTGCCAGGGCACGCCTCTCAGGACAGTGCTCGGAAGCAGCCTGTTCAATCTAAGACTGTTATTCCCATTTTCTGTCCCCAGCTGGAACACTGGGATTCAGACTGATTTTGAGGGCTGGGTAACAGTTAATGCTGGTAGAACTCGGGCCAGCTCTGGAGGCCTTTCCAGGGTTCCGGTGGCTGAAATTCCCGCCTGCATTAGATGCCCTCAAAAGAACTAGGGGCTGCTCTGGAAATTTCACTGTTCACTGTCAGGGTCTGCGTGGCTGTTACACAACTGTCTGCTTGGGAAGGTGCTATCCAACCTTGTCCCCCAGAAGAATTCTTGAAGCTGCCACATTGCAGGACAGTTAGGAGAAGGAGCTGCACTTTTCCTTGTCGCTTGATCCATTTTAGCTCAACTTCCCAAGAATATTTGGGACCATCTCCAAAGGCAAGACTAGCTCTAGGATCTAAACTCAACTAAATGGTGCAGCTTCATTACTTTCAGTTATTTCCTCCCCCTCCTCACCAATATGGCTTAACGCTTAAGAATAATTTCTTAACAAAAGCAGGTAAGGTAATTGCTTTTGAAATCATTTTTAAGTGTGTATTTTTTTCCTGAGAAGTTAAGGGGTCAAACACCTGAGAGATTTGCAGAAATTAGCTTGCAGCTCTCTCCTTGAACTGCGTATTAAGAGTTTTCAGCCTAAGTGCTCTAGCTAGCACTGGCTGCAACAGCAATAGAGCCAAGTGTAGAGAGGGAGGAGAAATTCAGTCACCTCCTCATTCTGTCTTCCCCCATAAAAGCTAAAGGAAAAGGTGAGAAATTAACCAGCAAGTTAAATATTTGCTTGCAAACCAGGGCGCAGGGGAGGGTGGTGAGGAGGAAGGGTGTCCGGGCTGTGCCTACCTGGGCCAGGCCATGGGCGCTGCCTTTCACGGGCAGGGCTCGGTGGGCAGCGGCGGCCACGTGGCTGCAAGGAAAGCGCAGTGAGAAGAGGTGCTGCTCCTGAGACGCGGCCTTCCTTACGCTGACCTCTCCCACTTCTTAAAGGCTCCCACTACAGCTGCTTCCAGCAAGTCCTCTCCAGTGTGTCACTGTGATGGTAAGAAGGACAGTGCCCCCTCTGGGCACAATGCCCTGTGGAGTTCACCTACCCACCCGCTTTGTCCCTCAACATGCAGGTTCAGCTGCGCCTGTACAAGGTACATGGACAAAATCTCCCCCTTGAAGCAGAGAGCTGCTCCTTAGGACACAATTAGTTCTGTGCCATTTCAGGGCTAGGCGCTGGGTGACGGCCAAGAGATTATTTTGGCTGAAGAGCAGTTAGTTTTTGAAGAGGGTCCTGCCTCCTTTGTTCCTAGGTTCCAAGCTCAATCCCTCCTATTTATAATATTATTTGCTGTGCTGCTGTATGTGTGCCTTGTGTGCCTGCCCCCCACCTTTGCATCCTAGCACCATTTGAGCTCTTCAGAGCTCTGCCTGTGCTTCCCAGGAGGTGCTCGCAGTGCCCTTACCTCAGCATGAGGAGGTAGCTGACAAGGTGCTTGGGCTGCAGGTCCTGAGACGAGCGATACAGGACCTCGTCATACCTGAGGGGGAGGAAGGGACCATTTGATGTTACGGCGGGAGGAAGCTGCCCTCTCAGGCCCATCAGACTTGCTTAAACTCAGCACAAACACCAGCACAACCGCAGAGCTAACAGGATTCTTCCGAACGAGGCTGAAGCTCTGCCGTTAGCACCCACCTCCCTCTTCCTCCCCACTCGCTTGCTGTGGGAGGCAGGTTGCTGCTATGCCCCAACACATACATCATAAACACAGCTGGTGTGCGGGGGCGCACGGCTATGGCCGAGAAAACACAAAAGCGGTATTTGATCCTGGAAAACTAGGTCTGGTCTTACATTTCAACACTGATTCTAAGTTCCAAGGAGCAAAACATATGTATTAAACAACTAAGCTAGTATCAAATGAAGGACACACCTGCCATGTTAGTGCAACAATGTGTTAGACTATTTATCAGTGAGCAAGTCCCATTTCTGCAGGGATGTACATGCAACCTTTCATCTACTGCTCACTGGTCTGCACAGGTAATGAGCAAGAACCTCTGCCTGAAAGACTCCGCCATGAGCAATGAACTTTTCGAGGTCCAAATTTTAACAGGGTGCCCTCGAGAAAGTCTTGCTGTGGCCAAAGGATTCTTTGGGAGTGCTGAGAGTGCAAAGCAGCCAACAAGACTTCTATTAGGAATTTTCAAAGTCTTAATTATTTCCAATTCCAACCTGGCCTGTATGGCATGGGCAACTCTCCTAGTCTCCATACTTTAATGTCACCCCAATGAAACAGTGCAAACAGCAGCGACTCAGCCTGAAGACTGAGTTAATGAAGAACATTACTGCTATTATCAGGTATTTACTCTTCTTACGCCAATTTTTCAAGGGAGGGTTACTGTCACACTCTATACAGTGCAAGGGATAAAGACACTGCCCAAATACTGCCGCTCTCTTGTGATAGTGCAGTCTGTGCCTGCTGGCAGCAAACCTCTTCAGTCTATTTTAAGGGAATTGGTATTTAGAACAGAAATGAGACAAACCTGAGAAGATGCTGAAGAACTGAGATGGCCTCCGGCTCTTGCAAGGATGCCACATCAACATCACTCAGCTGCCCATTCCCATGCATCTGCTCTAAACTAGAAAGCATAAGAATCAAAAACAAATCCTGGATGAGCAACAATAACTTGTATTTTAAAAAGAAAGTGTAGGGATCTTTTGTTCAAACTAAATAAAGCATCTGAGACAGGCAGCTGATTTCAGTCCAACATAAAAATGTCTTTTCAAATTTGAGCTAGACCTTCTGTTTCAACAAGTTTAAAAGCCCAGACACATGCATGCTGCAGAGGCTCTGATACCAACCACACATGGAAGCTGGCTCTATAAAGCAGAGGGCCAGCTTAGCTCAGCCCTATGGAGATGAGGTAGAAATTTCATTTTAATTGGCTTACTCTTCTGTGAAGTCTCATGAATCCCTATTGTAAGCTCACAAATCAGCTGCAAGAGTGAATATTGTATTTAGAGAAGAATCTCTTCTTCCAACAGTAGGTCAGTGAAGCTAAGTGCACTGTTTGACACCCATTTCGCACATACAAATCTTCCTCTTACCTGTGGAGTCTGGCATGTGTGTACTGCAAGAACACGCCTGTGTCTCCCCGACTCTGAAGAGCTCGATCCCAGCTAAACTGGTAATCAGATGACAGAAGGCCCTGGAAGTCCTAGGACAGTAACTCAAGTCAGTGTCATCCAGATATGGCTCCAAATGTATAACTTCTCACAAAAGGTGCTAACGTGCCCAGAAGCAGTTCAGACTCACCTGGATTATTAGTGCTGCAAGACCAATCTTCTCTGCTGTCTCTACAGGGTTTTCTAGCTCTTTGGTTGCTGAATAGAAAGAAAAACAGAATTTCTGATCTGTAGTAGTACAATTCCCTTACTCGGACCTGGAGATGACAATGAAACAGAAGATCTTGCAAAACTGTTAACTAGCAGCACAGAAATTGTCAGGATGCACCCAGCAAGATGTCCAGGATAGAAGACTTTCTTAGAAGTTATAATTAAAGCTTTCTTCTCCTTCCCCTGTGTGATACAGATTTTACAGTCAGAAGGGTCCACTGCAACAGCCTAGATTACACTAACTTCCTTCTCATGATTCAGCCAGCCAATCCTTAATGCCAGGAAGAAAATGATAAAAGAATTCAGTTTACATTTAAAAGACCCAAGTGATAAGAGAGACCTGAATAATCCAAGAAAATAAAATGTTCCAACAGCCAATGACTCCTCCTCAGGAGTGCCACCACCTGCGGAGGATCCAAACGGGCTGCAGTCAGAGCCTCCCCAGAGCGGATGGATTTCTCTGTTGAGCCAAGGGAGGGAAGTAGCTTTACCCACAGATCAGCTAAGCAAAGACAAGCTGGAGCATCCAAGTCTAAAGAAGGCTAAAATTAGACCGTGTGAATACTACCTTTATTTGAGCACTGAGTTCACCTAACCTTACCTTCTTTCACTAAGCATTACTATTTCTTTGATTAAAGCCCTTCTGTCAGGCATAGACATGGCAGGAGCCTCTCCAAAGCTTTAGAAAAAACATGCTGAAACATGAAAAAACATGTCATTTTAGAAAAAAACATTAAACATGCTGAAGTCTGTCACTACAAAAGCCAGTGATTCTGAAGCAGCCCGGGAGAGAACACCCTCCCAACGGCTGCAGAGGTACCTCTGCAGAGATATTCCCAGCTTTTCCACAACTCAGGGACATCCTTCAGAAGTCAAGCAGCACACTGATGCACAGAGAAGATTGCTGAGCTCGCTGCCCTTCTCCCGGGGCCAAGCTGGCGCAAGAGCTCACCACAAGTTCTGTAAACCTGCCTGCATCAACAGCACATTACATGCAGACCTTCACCGAAATCAACTGCTTGTGTCTCAACACCATGACCCTGCCTAATGAAATGGTGCTGCTTTTGACACTCGCAATGATTTCTGCTTTTAAACTCGGATCCCAGCACTCTGCCAGGCTCTCCTCAACTTCCTACTTGGGTCTTCTGAAGAGAAACAAGAATCTGTACTTGCCTTCGCAAGGCAATTCTGCTCTGCTCTGGCAGGGCCCATAGTGGTGTTTTCAATTGCGGTCTGCGAGTTAAACTTGCGGAGTTCAGGCCATAATTTGCTGCCCCAGCTGATCCTTCAATAACAGCAGAAGATGGAGAATGGAGCTGTCACCTTAAGACCTGATTTAGGTGGAGACAACTTTGCAGTACAGTTTTAGTACTGTAGATCCCTGCCTTTTGCTCAGATATTTCTTCAAGCCAGGTCTGCAAAACCAATGGAGACAATTTTGAAGCATTTGTGCTATTTCTTTGCTATGTACAAAATTTAGAAAGGACTAAGATTGCAATGTGCAGGCATAGCTTATAGCGCTGAGACGTCTCAGGCTGTGTATTCATTTACACAGACAAATATGCTTAGATTACACTGTTTCCTAACAGAGACTTATTTCAAAACAAACAAAAAAGCTTTTTTTCTTTTTTTTTTCCTGCTGCTGTTGTTTTTGTTCTTAAAGACGAAAACTAACATTTTGCATAACTGAGTCAGCAGTGGACTTACAATTTAAAAATACTGTGCCATTGTGTCACAGAAAATTCATTCTGGTGGCACTCTTAGATGAGATGCTAGATGGGACATAGACAAAAGGATCTACAAAAAGAGAAGCGAAGAAGTGACATTACAGAGAGGGCTTATGTGGACAACAGGGCTCATTAAAATTAAAAAAAAAGAAAAAAGAAAAAAAGGAAAAAAAAAAAAGAAAGAAAAAAAGAATGCCAGTAATGGATACTTAAATAGCAGAACAACTGTAGCACATCTAATAGCAAAGGCAGAGTTTAGACAGCGGTATTTGACTAACCAGCTACACACAGGCATGACTTTTAAAGCCAGCACTGGCTGTTAGATATTCAGCTCCCAAAGCCTCTCAATGACAGCCAGGCATCTTGCTGTCACACGTATTTATAGTATCTTCCACTGTGTGTCTAACACTTTGCAAACAGTGAAGACAACACCGTGAATCAGGAACTTGCAATTTCCATTTTAGGAAAAGGGAAGCAAGGCAGGAATTCGAACATAAGGGGAAAACCTTCACGAGCACGGGTATGATTTAGGGTCTATGGACAAACTGTGGGGAATGCTACAGGGTCAGCTGAACACACCGCTTCCTTTGGCTGCTCCCCTGCTTACTGCTCGCGCAGTTAGTTCAGTGTGGCATAAAAACGAGCTGCCTCTGAGCTCAGCTCCGATGCTGGGCTTTTAGCTGAAGCTTTAGCTACCTCCCTCTCTGCAGTAACGCTGGTTTGCATAGCAGGTCACCCTTGCATCCCTTAACCCCTGCAGTTCACCATTTCAGTCCAGCACAAGAGGGGGCAGCACTTCACCAGGAGCTGCTTAAATCAGCTTTGCTCCAAGAGGAAGCAGCTCTAGAGCCACAGCCCGGAGTGCAGACAAACATTCCCTCATGCAGATGCTGCTGCAGGGAAGCGACCTGATGGGGACGCAGGGGACAGGCTGGGAGGATGAAAAGACAGCTGAGGCCCAGGCAAACTACTTGCCAGCAAGTCGGACGAGTTAATCTTGCTGGAGAAATGTGTCAGAGCTGCTGGTCCCTTGGCGAAAAGCTTACTGTGCCCTGAAATGCAATCCCAACTCCACTATTGGCTAGTTTTATATATATATTTTACCACACATATAATGGGAGATGGAGCAAGTGCAAAGATGAGAGCGTATCACTGATTGGTCTGATTAAGGGGAGAGTGAAGAGCATAAAAGACGACAGGGTTTTGACCAACACAGAACATCAAATGAACAGAGTAAGATCTGAAATAGCTAACTTTTTGCATAGGCCATGTTCTGTAACATCCGCGAGCGAGCTTCGTCTAAAACATCTTCCAGGAAAATAACTTCTCCTCTCCGAGTCTTCATTCCTTGAACTAACCCAAAAGACACATGCTGACACCTGTGTTGAAAAGCAGCAGGAACTAGAATTACATTTTAATCCATAGAAAGGTGCACGGTATTTGTTCAGAACTGGTTTCAACCAAGAAACAGCAATAACAGCTGAATAAACAGTGCTCCAACATGGGAAGCCTGATGATACAATCAGCAATTCCTACTTCAGCAACCAAAACTCCATACGCATCACAGAATGGGGAAGTTCTGATCAGAATTATGATAACCTGGTCAGCTGTGTGCTCTTGGGAACCTCTCTTGCTACTAGCTTTAATGCCCAGTGCTCAATGCAATAAATTCAGGATGTAGACAGATCAGATTTATGTGGCAACACAAATCTCTTAATAACATCAGAAAGAGTCATAACAATTTTATTGTGGCTACAATTAAACTAAAAGTGTAATTAATCACTACTACTAATAAAACATTCACTGTTTTTGTTCATAATAATCTCAAGCACTAGTCTGGACCCATGCAGAAAGTTGCATTTTAATGCAACTCTCAGGACAGAGAAAGTAGGCAGACTAATATTCCTGAAAGCTAAAACCTTTAACTGCAAAGGACCCATGGTCTCTCTGAGAAAGCAGAATGATTTAGTCTCCAGATCCAATACCGACCTTTGCTCAGGCTGCCAAGAAGGTTGGTAATTACAATGAATAACAGTGGGGATACTTAACCCTGCTAGATATTTCAAGTTTGAAGTATGAGGAATTCAGGTCTTTGAGAAATGATAAAATGTATTCCAAGCATTTTTCCAGTATGTGGACACCCATCACCCCAAAGGCTATATGCCACAGAATCTGAAAAGTTGTTTTCCTTTTTCCCCACTTTTACAGTAAAAAGTCATGGAAGGCCCATTAAATGACTGACAGGGCTATTCTCTTTTTCCCTTCTCCTAAAAACAGGGGAAAGTCTCCAATTGCAAGTAAGAACACTCTGAAATGCTTGTGTGATGTGCTACAGCACAGAAGGTGGAGACAATGTGAGGATCTCTTCAAAAGTATATTCAGCTAAAATGCTAATTTTCATGCACCCATTTTTACCCACAAAGTAGTATATAATTAAGCCCCATATATACATACCTTTCTGCCCAGTCATAACCCATTAGCTTCAGTATTTGGAACAAATGTCGAAAGTGATTACTTTGACTTTTATCTGTCTGAAGAATAAAATTGGTGTATATTAGCAGACAGCCCAGGTTGCTTTTAATTTTGCTTTTAACATGCAAACACAGAACACCAAGGCGCTGTCATTATGGCCTTGCAAGGAGAATTAAGACTTATGAAAACAGACAAGACCTGGAAAATATTTGAAAATCTTCGGAATATTGAAATACTTGAAAACAGATTTCTGCATCTTTTCAGAAAAAGCAACCTACCTCTTTGAAATTGATTATTCCTAGGTCCTAAATACAAAGCCATAAATGGAACTAAAACTTTGATGTTCTTTAGTTTCACATAATCTGTCAGCTACCCTTCAGATAAGATGCCTCCATTTTCACTTCAGAGCCTTGTTGCTCTTGATATATGTTCTCATGTTTTATAGACCAAACCTCGTGAGCTTCCTTTGGCTTAGGGACAGACAACCTGTTAAAGTCTATCAATAATATAACTAACAGAATGCTGTATCTACCATGATGCACGGGCTAACATGATTTCCAATGAAAATCAAAAGGTTTTCATTAGGCTAAACTCACTGAACCCATTAGTTTCTGTTGTTTCCCACATGACTTGTGGGGCATTACATGTAAGTCAGATACATAATTAAATAGCACAGATGATCACATTTTCATATTAATGATGCATCCTGTGCACCCTTCAGCTTCCAGTTATCCTCTCCCATGACGCAAGGCAGTTTTCTTTTGGAAATTCTTCAAATCCAAAAATGATTTTTGTGGGTTTCCAACTAATAGTGTTGCTTTTTCCCTTCTAGGGACTACGTCACTCAGACTCTTCCATATCCTTCATTAAAAAGGAATAAAAAAACAAAACTAGAGTCATCTTTAAATAAATGTATTTCTTCATTTGCTGGTGTTTCAGGACAATGAGTGAGAAATGAGTGAAGTGCTTAACTGTGCTTCTTAAGCCGACTTCTGCATCAAGTCTGAAGTATCTGCCTCTATTTTCATAGTTTCTCAAAACATACCCTTTTCCTGTGTATCACCTTTTACTGTGCAGATCCACAAGGCTGATAAATGAATTACAGTTGTCAGCCATTCCAGTGAGTCCTTCAAAGCTCTTTTCCAGCACCTCAACACATGTGAGAAATGTTCTGTAACCACTGCAGTGCCAACTCTCTTCTGCTAAAATATCTAACAAAAAACTTCATGAAATTTAGGTTAAGGCCAGCTCATTGCATTGACCAGTGCTGGCTGCTCTCTCTGCTCCCTGCCACGTCTGAACTTCTTTCCCATGTTGTAGGAGAGACTGTAAATGCTGTGACAGAAACTGCTTTTGTATTGTGTGTACACAGCACCTCCCTCAGCACAACCTGCACTGTGGTCAGAGCATTTAGGAGCTCTTTGCACAACTGGAGCCATCTGTGAGCAGACAGTGAGAAGAATCATCACATATCTTCTCACAAAAGACTCCAGTCCTTCAAAGACTTTATTGCTTCCCTGTGATTGTTCACAGGGCAGAGTTTTCAGCTATAACTAAACCAAAAACTGACTTCAGTCTGTAATCGCCTATCTCAACAGTGTACACAGGAACAGCATACAGAAGAACATCCAAAATATTAACAGCTGTATTAAAAATAGTATAGCAGATTATTTTTAGAATCCCATAAATTCTCAGGAAAATAAGGATATTAAAACTGAAGCCAAGTTGAAAATATCTATCAGGCAGTACAAGCTAAATTCCAGGTTTCAAATGGCCACCTGAAAACTAGGCATCAGGCCCCACTTTGGATGTTGTGTGATACCATAAGCAGCAATAGTGAGTGTTATTTATAGCTAAAGTTAAAACTGTGTGAAATCCAAAAACACTAAGAAGGATGGAAAAGCACAGTAGTACCACAGCACTTTAGCTCTGCCTAAAAGTAATACTCAAAAAGTGGATGCATAAGTAGGAAAACAACAAAACAAAAAAGTATGTGAATTAAGAATTTGAAGACACTACAGTTTCATATAACACTACTTTTGCACAGCTTCATAGCATAACAAAAAATAACACAAGAGAAGCTTCACATGATTAATATCCCTGTTTTCCTTATATATCCAAATACATAGCTAAGCAGACTAAGTGGTTACCTTTACATGAGCAGACTGCAGACTGACAGTGGAAATTATATCCAATGTCCAAAAAGAGTTTCCAGTTGCTGCTTTAAGTGCACTGAATTCAGCTGAATCTTAGCGCCCTAACAGCCCTGCCATAAAGCAGCAGCAAGGCTAAGTTCCACTCACAGGCAACCTATCTCTCACTCTTGTTTTATGACCCACTTTACTGGCTCTCGCCAAGTCGGAAACAGCAGAAACATTAACCACATTATCCCAAAACTTAGCAAGTTTGAGGGAACAGGACTAGAGCCACCAACTTATGGCCATTTCAATCCATGTCACGTTCATAAATCACATGACAGGATAGTTTTGCTGCATATTTTATGTGGACCAGTAGATCCACACTAGACCCACGCAGGGAAGTGAAGTTCATCCAGCCAACTTAAGACCACTTGCTCTTTCTATTAGCCCAACATTCAGCCCACCTCCTAACTTTGACAAAATGCCTTGTTATTTTCTTTCTAATTATTTTTTCTTCCTTCGTCCTGGATACCTCATGGCATGACAGAGATAACTACCTACACACGTGAACTAGACGAGAAGCTCCTTAGCTCCTAACGCAATGCACTTCCAGAGCTACACTGCTCTCTGATGCTACAGATTGAAGGATATTGCAGTCGGCAGAGACCAAAAAAGAAAAAACAAGAAAAACAAGGACTTGTGTTCTAGAATCACAACTGGAAATGACAAGCTAATGAAAGCTTCCTGAAGATTAAATATATGGTTATGATTTTTTTTCTAAATCTGGAAAAAAAGAGAGTATAAAAGCATCCTATGAAATGTCCTTGATAGTTCTAAAGCAAAGAAATTTCAAACAAGTGAGATAATCCAGTTTTTATTGCTGATATTGTTGGAATTGTTAAAAAAACACCAATCCAGAAACACAAAGATTCCCTGTTAGCATTTGCTTTGTCTGGATTGATTACATAGGACTTTATGTGCAAGTCCTAGTTAATGAAACTGCCATGTAGATCAGAGCTATAAAAATCCACATTATTGATAACATCAGTACTCTAACATATTCTTAGATTCATTTTAGAACATTCATTAATAACATTTATCTCCTTATAACATTAACACTTTTTTATAACTTGGTTAAATATTAATGACATAAAATTCAATGTCAGATAAGTATAAGTTCTTTTAAAACAATTTTCAGTGAGTTTAAGACAGCAAATAACTTCAGAGATTATTTTTTCAGCCATTTGTGGGCCACAAACTGAAGGAGAATCAAGAAACACTGCCACATTAAGGCACATCTGCTGTATGGTTTATTACAGTGCCGAAAATACCATGTGCCAAAGTCTTATAGGGATCAAGAGCGCCCTGGATTACTGGAAAAAGTCAGGCCTAGGGCTTAGTGAATCTAGAATTACTTACCACATACATCATAGTATCACAGTTATGTTTATTCATTCGATCTATAGCAGCAGCAACATCTCTGAAAGAGAGACAATGAGAAACCATTTGGACTTTCTTTTGAACTAAGCATCTCATTATCTGCTGCCTGGGAAAACTAGTTTGGCGATTCTCTCTCCTCCATACAGAGAAGGATCCATGAATTCTCTCCTCTGTGTGCACATGTGTATGCAAGTCTGAGGGCCAGTCACTTCAAAGACCTGTCATAGCTACATTGCCAGTTTCCATTAAAACTACTCACTAGTCAAGGTGTCCCAACCCAGAAATAAAATGCTTCAAAATCCACACTATCAGTTACTTGTGCAGAAGTTTACTAATGAAACAAAACCCAATAAGCAAAAAAGGACTTACTGACCTTGTTATATACAGAGATGTCCCATCACTACGCATGACAGTGGAAAATGATGAAAGGTCTTTCTTTTCTGAGAGATCCACAATTCCTGTCCCTTTCCTGTAATTTGACAGAAAACACTGAGGTGACTGCAAGCCAGATCGGAAATGCAGGCAATTCTGGGACGATGAAGATCAAAACCAAAACAACAGACCTCTGGTCATGTCACCCAGCAACTTTGGGCAATCCCACTCTTTTCTTGAATGACTGTCTCCTTTAAGCCTTTCCGAAAACCATTCCTGGTTTTCCATTAGCTCTGCTGATGCCAGGGAGCTGCCTGCTCACATCCTGGTGTACTCTGTTCATAGAGCTTCTGTTCCAGTTAAGACAGGCAGCATATCGAGGCAAAGATTTCATCTGCGATTGTGAAATGGTACACGCAGCTACCAAACTAATCACCAGCTTACCAGGCAATTAGGAGCCAGCCACTATCACTGAACTCAATTTGGCATTGCCAGGCTTCTGTGCTGGCCGCAAGAAAACCACAAAAGCCAAAAAAGGTCATACGTTGTTTTCTGAAGAAGTCCTTTTTCCTCCAAAATCTTCAGAACTTCCTGGGACCTCTCTTGGTAAAACGATTCTCCAGAATACTCATCAAAATGCACTCCTAATCTCTGCAAAGAAAGAATATCAAAGAGGAGAAACATTGTTAGGTCAAGCCTAATCATTTCTTCAAGTTAACTCAGAGGACGGGTTTGTGTCAGAAGTCAGATAGAGAGAGCAAAGGGATTTTATGCCGGGAAATATTACTGTGTTGTTAAAAAGAAAGGATACTTGGAATTTTTAGTCTGCCTGTGTGTTACAATTAATCTCCCAGAGTTGAATATACCATCAGACATCAGTTACACGAGAAATCAAGAGCAAACTGAGGACAGTGCTCAGTACAAAAATCCTGAGGTTAATTAGTTGGCTGAAAGGGAGAAAGCAAATAGCAGGCTGTGCTGCAGCTATAACCAGAGAAAGTTTTCAGTCTGGAAATTAGCCCTATTTTAAAACGATAAGATTTCTTTAAAATCTTTTTTTAAGATTTAAAAAAAAAAATCTGCTCATAAACTTTGTTCAACATAGACCTCACCATTACTGGAGGGCTCAGTGTACATCTAGCAGTGATAGGTTAACTGTAACTGTTGAAACACGGTGAAACGCAATGGTACAAATGATAATATTTTTAACCGAGAAAAAGAGAACTGCGAGAATTCTCAGTCTGTCAGCAAGATACTTGCTAGTTGGAAAACAACCTGGGAGCAATCTGGCTGCGCATACAGCGCGATACTTACCCTAAGAGGTAAGTTTCTGCTAGAATTATCAAGAATTTGTCTCACTTAAGAGACCTTAACCTGAAGCACTTGGCACAAATTCAGGGATAAGTTGCAGGAAAGAAATTAAAACACAGCCAGGCTACTTGAAGTGAGGGAGACCACTTCTATTTAACCTTGCAAAACAAGAATGAAAGAAGACATGACCACTTTCTGTAAATCATAATATGGAGGAAGATGGGGAAATGCTACCTGAAGAATAATGCTACCAGAATTAAGTGGTATGAAATTAGTTATGAATACTTTGAGGTTGAAAATTAGAAAAAAAAAAGTCTAAAAAATATCTAAATCCCTCAAAACTAGGCATCTATTCCAGAACCTCATTGCAAAAATGTAGGAAAGCAAAACTCCAGCTGGCTGTCAGATGGACCTCTGACAGTTCTTCAGATTTTATAGCACTAACACCAGCAGACTGGTTTCAATGGCAGAAGGGGCACATCAGTCCTATTTCCCAAATCACAGCACTCCTTCTGTGGCCAGTAGCACAAGCCTCTCCCATGAAGCAGTCAGTGCACAGCTGCATTCATGAGATTACGGTATACAACAGATGGCTGTATATTAGCTGTACTCTCATGCAGGGAACTTATACACCAATTACTATTATAAATCCCAATTGCTATAATTTCTTACACTCAATTGGATGTGCAACATACACAGCTCTGCATTATAACAGTAGATTAGAAATGTGAAAACAGATTTATCTCCTAATAAAATTTATAACACAGAAACTGTTAAATTTAGTTAGTGGGTTGCTGCCAGCTTCAAACATAAAATAGAATTGAGCAATATTTATCTGACATCGATTCGCTTTGTTGCTTAGCACCAGACTCTGAGCTTCAGGGATTTAAAAAAGGGAGAGTTAGTCAAATGGCCAATTTGATGGACTGCTTTAAATAAAATGTATCTAGCTTCTTAGCAACTAAGGAGATTCTATGCTTGGATGTTAAACAAACTAGCAGCCTTTCCCAAACAGGCCCATGAACTGGCATATTTTAAAATATTTCTTCCACAACATTGTGAGTTTACTGTAAAGACAACAAACTGACAACACCACAGCAGCTTCTGTTCCTGAGTTGGTTCACTTCCTGGAACTCCGTTTTATGAAGAAGTGCTATGGCTACATAGCAGCGACTAGGTCGACTGATGGAGCAACACACAGAAACCAACAATACAGGAAAAAAAACAGTAGATGATTTGTACCTTATAAATCCGGATGTATTCTTCAATACTGAAGCTTCTAAACTGTTTCCAAAGTGACAATGTCTGCTCATCATGTTCTTCCAGCTTTCTAAAGAAATCCTTAGCCAGCTTTTTTGTGTTTTCATCCTCTGCTGCTTTATTAATCTGTACATACACCTAAAATATAATGGCATCAAAATGCTGCAGAAGTATAAATCTCTCCACAAATAAAAATAAGCAGAACAAGTTCTACAAGAACAATACAAATAGGTTTAAAGATGACATTTTAAATCTTTAAAATGTAAAGCTGTTTAAAAGAGAACATATCCTATTTAAAGAATGAATCCTCAAAGACAGTAATGCCATAATTTCTTACTAGTGTTGCTGTCATCCTCTTCTTAACCATGAAAAAGTGCAGTAGCAGAATATAGAACAAATTCATGCATAGATTGAAAACTGTCACAGAGTTTTACACCAGAGACTCATTTTCACAGGACCATAATGGCGGTATATTTAACCATCCACAGTCTAAAAATAGGCTGCAAATGAAGCACCAAGAACCTAGATGGATTCACCTTTGTAGAAGTTCCAAAAAACAGTGCGGATGCAAAAGCCACCTCCTCATACTAGTCTGCACTCCTAATATTCCTTTGCTGTCTGGGTATGGTTGAAGTCAAGTACATGAATATCAGCATATGACTAAAAACTCACAGATTAATTGTCATAAATTTGCTAGAAGCATTACAAATAATTTTATTAGCCAACCCTACAGATCTACACTGAATTTGACTCTCCTGTTCATTAACAAATTCCTTTATAGTCCAGAAGGCCAAATGCTTGCCCAGACTGTGATTCCTTTCTTTTCAGATGTAGCATCTTCAAAGCCCACAGAAAATTTTTGAAAACTTAGAGGACCATGTAAAAATAATTAATCAGTGTTTACACTAGGTATTTAGACCCAAATAGTTCAACACTAATTAACTTTTAAGCCTTTGTAAGAGAGCTTACCTTAACAGAAAACAGAAACTTCCTGCAACGTTCAGACAATGAGTTAGACAATACCAAACACCAGCTGTAATGGGTTCAGCCCATAAAAACGATCCTACACCTTTTAGTTCTTGAACTTGAACTTCTTCCCTTCCTTTTGCACCCCAAGATTTTCAGAGATGGAGCTTAACACACAGTACTGCTGACAAGCCTCAAAGATTAAATGTTTGTTTAGTTCTGCCATGAAAAAGAAATCTAAAGGACAGGAAAAAATCAGCTCTTTCCAAGAACAATTTTCCCCGTTTCTCAAAAGGCAGCTTCACATATCCTAACATCTCCTTCCCCAGTCATTATTTTTATAGAGCAAAAATAATGCAAAAGACAAACTTGCACCTGAGTCCTGACCAGAATGGAAGGTACAAAGCTCATTAGAAAAGCATATTCAATGATAGATTATATATATGCCAAAATTTTAACTATTTGTTCAATTCTGCTCCTCATTAATATCAAATCCTGCCATGAATTCCGAAGTGGTGCCCTTCTGCTGTTGTGCGAAACTGATCTCTCCTAAGGTTTGCTTAACATGAAAAATTCCATGCAAAGTTTTTATGTAGATCGTTAAAAACTGGGTATAAGAAATTCTTCTTTAATCTCAAACAACTACTACACTACAATCTGTAACAGCTAGACTGAATACTGCTCTAAATCTGAAGGTATATTTTTTAATTTAGGTCATAAACCTAAAGATGTTGAGATAGATGATGTTTGAAAGTTTTAGCACAAAATCGTAAGAACAGACTGAAATTACAAGTGAAAATTAAGTAATACGCAGTAATGCATACCCACGTACCAAACCACTTATAAGACAGATTGAGGGGGAAAAAATGTAAGTGTAAAAAAAAAAAGTGTAATTTCTTGTTATTTTTTGAAATCCCACAGCTGAGAGTTCCACAGCTCTAAACAACTCTAAGCTGTGAATCTGTCATTTCCTTGAGGAGGCCTCCAGAATGATGGAGCGAGCGAACAGAATGTACCTACGTCAAAGAAGCTGACAGACTCAGAAGGAACTTCTCCGTCATATGAATAAGCTGCCTAGTACATATTTAACTGCAGCATATCTGAGCATTCAAACACACCCTGTTCCCGAGCCAATAAACGCATTTATATAAAATAGATAACTTGTGACTTAGCATCCAAATGCCACCATTACTAATAGGTCCCATACCAGCTCAGAGAGCACAGGTTGGCTTTGTACTAGAGAACTCTTGATAGAGTCCCACAACAATCCGCGACAAGACTTAAAACAATTGAAATGTTTTATTTTGAAGGATGAGGGCTGAAACATTAGTCACACCAAAAAGTTTGTCCATCTGTCTTCACAGTAGCTAGATTTGCACATTAAGTGTCATAGCCCACATTCTCTTGCTCCTGATAACCTGCTGTATACATGTTACAGCCAACGTGTACCGTCAACCTAAAGATCACCTAGCTCAAGCAGTTGATGCACTGACATAGGTCTAACTGCCTGAAGCAGGCGCAGGCAACCAGCAGAGGCCTAGTATAAAGTTACCTGCCTCTTGGGGCGTTTTTTAAAACCCACTGAAATCTGTCTTGGCTGCCACGGCCCACCTTATCACTGGTCTTTAAACACAGTTTAAATCTAACATGTGTGTCTAATCATGAGCCTGCAGGCACAGTACTCTCTCCAAGCTAACAGCTAAGTTCAATGCACTGTCTTCTAAAGTCCTTAGCTGATTTTTTCTGCACTTACCTCAAAAAGGTGTTGTAAAGGACTGGACTTTAGTTTTTCTTCATTGCCAAACTGTTGGAAACCAACACCCAGTAAGCCTTAAACAACAATTAAACACAGAGTTAGACAACAGCTGAGCGTGTTTTGCTCTTATGATTAAGTTGTTTTCAAAAGCAAGTCTCAACACCATACACAATAGAACACACGCCTTACATACTTCAGCAGTGTAATACTGTCTACCATAAAAACAAATTAAAAGCACAACATTATTCTAGGGCATGAAAAACTCTGTAATAGCTAGAAAGCAGCATGAAATACTATGATGATTTTCCAGTTTCTTTCATTGTAAGTGTTAGAACTCATGTTGCTGGACATGTCCAGTAACCTTTTACATAGCAATCAGCTGTAAACATGAAACCACACAGCAGAACTGTCCAGCAGCAGAACGCACTCCCAAAGCCTCTTCTTCTGCTCCCTCCCTTAGGAATTACCATTTCAAAGACAGCAGGACCTGGGACACAGCAGGGTATTCCACATACCACTCATGCAACATTTTCAAGGAAACATTTTGCTGTATGCTGAGCACATGCAGTATTTTTAAAATATCTGATTTGGCTTCAATACTTTGCAAAAGCCATCTGAAACAGCAAGAAATCCAAATCCTCGTTTTACTTTCTAAAACAAAGGAGCCCACTAACCCATTCAGCAGTCTATCAATACTGCTCCATAGCCTTTTTGATTATTTGAGGCTTTTTTTAAGGCCATTTCTTTCCTCTGAGGTGACAAAGCCCAGGACTGAGGTGAAGACAGCATACGAGGACTAGCTATGCAGGACTCCCTTTGAAAAGTCTGCTGCAGCTAAACAAGTGGCACCAGCTCAAGAACTAATCTGTTCCATCTTGGAAAAGGATTGCGATAGAAATGCTTGGTCAACTTAGATGAGCAAAACAAATGAGGATTTAGGAAATAAAATGACTCTAATCTTATTCATAAAGAGTTTCTCAAAGGGTAACTTCTTGTGTCAGCAATCAGAGCTAGATTTCCTAATGATTCACCTTACATATTAGTGCATATGTCTCCGTTTCCAAGGCTCACTCCAAGCTCCAACGTTCTGCAATACTTCCAGTTTCTCCCCAATCCAAATGCATCCTTCCATACATTTCTCTACTTCACAAAATACTCCCACCCTATAGTTACCAATTAGTGGCAAGATGCAGCATGTGTTGGGACCAATTCTGACTTACACTTGCTGACTGCTTAGCTAGTAGGCTAAACACAGAAGTTAACATTCTCTCCCACAGGTCACTGCCCTCTCTCTGTCCCTACTCTGCTGCTAAGGATGACAAAACTAAGAGAAATTTGTTCTTTGAGGCATTTCTACGAATCATTCTATGATTTCTATTTGTCCGATCTGCCTGAAGTTTGCCAACAGTTTATTAGAAGCAAAAATTTGTTAAAGCAGGCTGACAAAGACAGATGGATGGACGGAACGGCTGTGTAAGCTTTGTTACCTTAAGAAACCTGCCCCAAACCTGCTGCAGGGCTGAGAACACCTTTGCCACGTTTCAGGAGACCACAATTTCAATTACTATATTTTAAAGCCTTTGACAATAGCAGCTTTAATGGAAATGCTGACAGATCATTAATTATAGTGGTGCTTCTGGGAAAGGACTATTACAGTAATATTCCTATGCTGTAATTTTGTGAAGCAGTGCTATAATATTTGTTATAAAACCTGCCAGATATTCTAGCTGAGCCAGCACACATAAACAGGGAGCTTCCATTTCGAAAGCAACAGTTTGAACTTCGAGTGCAAGAGTCTGATTGAACAGCTGTGCTGCGGGTAACAGATTCACGAGTCAATAACCTTGCCATCTTTGTGCTTTCAGGAAACAAAAATTCCTGATATTCAGACTTATGAGCATGATTCAGTATTTTCAAGGACAGAGTGGATGAGGTCAGTTGAAAAGTCCTTTAACTACGCTGTATTTCATTGCTTAACTGTTATTGCCACATTTGCTACACAAGATCATGTGATAAAACTAGGCCTATTGTACAAAAATAAATGAACGGAATATGATGAAATTCATTTAATTTTAAGCAAAAATCATCCTGTATTCAATTCCTATGAAACAAATCCTAAGTGGAATAAAGCTGTGCTAAAAACTAGTGTTTGATGAGAAACAGAATTGGGAACAAAGGAGGAAATAATTTGACAGAGGAAAAAAATAATATTACTGCTTTCACAGTCATAAAAATGTTCAACTGTCTAAAGGGCAGGAATTTACTTTAGAATGGAAAATAAGTAAAACAGAACCCTTGTGAGTTATGCTGAATCTGAATACATAAGTGGAGCAGAAGAGGCTATTTCTGCTATTTTTTCCACCCAGCTCAGTTCCCAAAGCTCATTCATTGGCATCCCCCTAAGCAGTTACACCAGCACAACTGAAGGAGGCAGCACCAAGGCTGGAATAAGCAAAAGTTACTGCTTGACGTAGACTCAGCTTTGTTTGCCATTTAAAAATATTGACACTGATTTCATAACTAACTGAAAAAGAAGTAGGGCAGTTTTAAAGTTCTGTACAAGTGAGCACAATTATTTTTTAAATGCCGAAAGTGTTTCAAAAATAGCTTTGGGGGCAAAATTAGAAATAAAGAAAGGGATATGGGTCAATTTAAAATGTAAAATTAGCAATAGACTTTAAGAAACGAAACCTATGGTTGGGTAACCAAGCAAAGAATAAAAAGGTACATTTCTTTACAATTATTCCATCATTATGCATAGCACAGGCTAGCCAGTGTACTATTCCATAACTGTTATGTATGAAAATCTGATTAAGGAGGCAGCACCACAGCAGACACATGCCAGCTGTGATCCTATGTCCAGCATTTTATCTAGAGGCAGCAGCAGTAGCCTGTTCACTACTATGTTTTCACATTTCTTAGGAAATAACTTACACTGCCCTTTAAAAATAGACCTCAGATCACCCATAGAAGATTGCCCTTTAAAAATAGACCTCAGATCACCCATAGAAGATCACGGAGAAGAGCTACTGAGGAATAGGGGCCTCCTAAGTAAATTTCTCCCCATGCTGACTACACAGTAGTATAGCTCATACTGCTGATCAATCAGTCTGGGAAATATTAATCTTATTTTGAGAAGACTATGTTACATGTATGGAAAGACAATATTACTCTTTATGAGCCCAGGGAAAACACAGCCTGAAGAAAAAAAAAAAAAAGGAAACCCAGACCATGTTATCAGTAGAAAAGGAAACACAAGAAATCAAAATGAAAACATACCAAACTGCATGCCCCAGTCGCCAAGGTAATTTATTCTTGTTACTTGATGTCCCAAAGCAACTTTGAGATTTGCTATAAAATTTCCTGGTAAGTAATCAAAATTAGTATTATTTTACAAAGTAGCAGACATTCTCTCATCCCAACAGATTGCTTTTCTATTCTTGATTAACCTGCTTCTGTTCTCCTTTTTCATTGTGACTATAGTCAGATCAATTACTCCACGGAATGTGCTAGAATTCTTCAGGTAGTAACCTTCTCAGCAGAAGGGCTGTACATTTCAAAAGTGCTATAAAGCATCTCATACACACAAAGCATCACATATGCAGTGACATATGTGTCACTGCAACGTATCTGAACATGGCAAACACTTTTTATAGTCTCCTTGTATCCTCACGTGTGGGAGCATACGTAATACCTCTTTTTAGTCAGGCTGCCTCACACTAGGAGGTTAAGCAATGACTGAAATGCACAAACTAGTGAAGATAAAGAGAACATTATGTCCTGAATGTCTGGAGCAGTACTGAACTCTGCACTTAATGCATCATGTGCTCGCTATGGTCCAAACTTACTATGACCTAAGAGCATTTCGTGATTTGAACTTTTATTACAGCAAAATCCTTCCAGTCTTCAGCTTAGCTGCATCGCAAAAGGACAAAGAAGAAATATCCACATTCCTTCTTCTGTTTTCCAATGCTTCAAGGATGCTTTCTGCACTTCACAGGATTATAACAGTGAGGTAGAAAAGTGAAGAAAACTTTCTCTTTTTCTATTACTGTAATACTGCATTACAGCTTGTGGTCACTTTCCGTTCTGTTCATGATATTAGCTCCATGATGTTGTTAGCATCTTCTGCCAATAACCTAGTATTTTTTATAATGAAAGATCGAAAGCTCACGGAAAAGGGAGAACTAATGGTTTCCATATGCCATTAGAGTGTTGAACAATAAATTAACTAATTACTCCATTAGAGATGACAGTTCCCATGTTAGGAACACGGGGCATACAGTACTTGTAGTATAAAAGCAAACCTCTTGCCAGACAACTGCTAAAACGTAACAACTGCTCTGCAGTCTGGTGCAAATTAGAAATTTAAAATTCAAAGGGCTCTCAGAACACTTCAGTGAAAACTGCCCCGGGTGTCTTTGTTGAACCATTTAAAGCTGCATCATCTAATGTTCATATTCACAAAACTATATGTGGGACTTAATAAATCTACCAGCAAAACATCACAATCTTTCCTGCACTGCTTACTTAGCAAGTTGAGCCTGACATGGCCCTTGCACTGGGAGAAGGAAAAGTCAGCAGTATTCCCCCAACAACTTAAACATGAAGACAAAAAGTCACAGTTTTTTTTAACTTTAAGTCACAGTTAAATGCCTACTTACCTATTATTGTGGAACGCAAGTGTCCTATGTGAAACTTTTTGGCAATATTAGGGGAGCTGTAACAAATTTCCACAAATGATGTTTGTTCAGTGTACAAGGTAAGATTCAGTCAACGGATATCAAATAGTGTATAGCAAAAGAACTGAAATAAAAGCAGAGTTTTGAATATTCCTTTAAAATTCCCTGATTAGCTTCTGTAGCTAAGAACAAAGTTTCCTATCCAAACAACTTTTCCTCCTGTACGCGTTACTGCCAGTGTTACTCAGGAGGAAACAGATGAACAAAGAAACAAAAGCAAAAAAACAATCATGCAGGTAACAAAAGACTCATGCTATCTTTTCACATTATACATTTTTGGTAAAATACATTATTATCCTCATACTTTTACTGGAGAGAAATCTGATACTAGAAAATGGAACTTTGTGGGCAAGAATCAGTAACTACAGTCAGGAATTCTTCAACAAATGTTGTCGTCTTCAAAGCTGGTAAATAGTATCTCTTCATACCAATCTCCAACACTGCTTTTTAATGTGGCCATGTTTTGTTCAGTTTGACATTTCTAATTCAGCTCAGTTTAAAACATACCCCAGGCAGTAAACTATTAGTCTTAACGCATTTACCTGAAAAGGCTTGCAAAATAGTTGAACTCATCTACAGATTGTAGTTTCTTCTTTACTGACCAAAGTGGGGAAAAAAAAAAAAAAAAAGAAAGAAAAAACCTTCCCTCCACAATTGTTTGTCTCTGACAATAATACGGAGGTTCAGCCTCAAACATTCTGCTCCCAAATTCAAGTGCTTACTTTCTGTGACTCAGGAAACCCACAGAGGAGCCTAAGTGGACAAAAATATTTATACATAAGAAGATCCAAGCCAAGAGCCTTTCCACAAGCAGATGAATGCAAACAAAATGGAACTAGTGAGAAAAAGCACTTGGCCAGCAAACCACCTTAGCAAGATATATGTCTGGCTGCTCTGGCAAGTCAAGATGTAGGTATGCAGAGTTGGAAAACAAAACGAAACACAGGCGAAAAAAGAAGTAGGCTATTGGCTGAAAATTTAGATTTTGTTTCTTGATAAAATAAAAATATTAAAAATAAGATTGCTTACAAAGTGAAAGTTATTATCCCCTAAACGAGAATATTCTTAGTGGATAGCACCATGAAGGCTGAACTCGATAAATACCAAAAAAGGCAAATATGTCAGAATATTAAATACACCCCAGTATAGTCCTATAAATATGGTTTTACTTCACAGGCATCATACATTACGACAATGAATATCAATCAGCAGACAAGGCAGTTTTGCGCTTACCTGAACTCAATCACTGCCTTTTGTCTAGGCACTGTAGAAAAGAGTTCACTTTTTATTCCATATTCTGAGCCATCTTTCAACACCTGCTGCAACACAGTCTAAAATGCAACAAAGGAAATGGGAGGAAAATGTTTTTCAACAACAGAAAGTGGAAGCAGAAGAACTGCTTACTCGCCACTCAAGGCTCATTCCCACAGCCTGCACTCACATAAGCGATTAGATTGCTAGGTTGCTATGAAAACAAAATCTTATACGCACAGGAAAACACCGTAAGCTTTTAAAAGCTGCATCTGGACAATTAAAAAAGTGAAACTCCAAGCAGAGACTAGGCTGATTTTGTTGAAAACTTGCAAGGATGGGGAAAGATACATACTCTACCAAAATTATTGCTTAGCTAGGTAACATGAAGGGGCAAAACAGTCATCAGGAGCTAATTAGTGAGCAAAAAGGGAGAGTCTGTCCAAGAACATGCGTAGGGCAGTAACTTCATATAAAGCCAGGGAGTCCCCATCCAAAGATGACTCATCTTACTCTAATCAGGATCCTCACCTCTCCTATTCAGATAAAACATTTTAAAATAAAGGCTATCCTGGAGAACTAAGACCATAGATCTGGATGAAAAAAAAAAATGAAAGAAAAAGAATAGTCTATGAGTAGGCCTGACTAAAGAATCTACTTCACTGTGTAGCAAATTTTTCTCGGCAGGCTTTTATTTAATTAATAAGAAAACTACATAACATACATCTGGGCTTCCTGAAAAGCACCATCTTCCCAAGAAAAGAAAAATTGTATCTTGTCAAGGAAGACTTTGCAGAGTTTGGCTGCTTGCCTGAAATTCCTGAGTCCTGTCTCAGATCCCAGGCTTTAGTCAAGGAATGAATGTTTACAGTGCAGGAGATTCCCACAGCACATGGCACAGCCAGATCACAGGTCCGACCCATTTGGGACACATGAGATTCATCCCTCCTCTTTATTTTTATCATAAATCTGTTCTCCTTAACGGTGATAGTAACAGCTAAATCTTATCTCTTTCTTTTCCCTTAGCGACTTAATGTAAAATTATATATTCTAGTTCCACATTTTTCCAGCATACTTTTTGAGGCCACATAGTTCTGTTTGAATCTCCCTACTAAAGGGAGAAAGCCTTGTGAAACCCTGTCCATGAATAAAAATGAATATCAAAACTACTCTGTGAACAGTCAGCTGCTATATTCTTATCGAGATGGGTTAGAAATAGCAAATGCAAAATTAAAGGAATTGGCTTTAGGCAATTAATAGAACAACTAATTGATAGCAATGCCTAAGCACTAGCAATTCATAAGATGAAAAACTTTAATCTGTCAGGAAAAGACGCTACAAGCATAAGTAAATTGGTAAAGGTCTTTGCACAAAGAAAGCATCGCCAGTATTAGTTAGAATCCGATTTGCTGCCCCCAGTTCACGTGCAGTCTTTTTTTCAGGACCACAATTTGTCCTAAGGACTGCCCAGCGTATATAGCAATGCTTTGAACCCCATCACAATGTCATTTGCTGTAGAAGTTCACTGAACCAGACTGGCAAAGTATCCATGCAATCCAAGCTAAGCAGAAGAACTCCAGGCTATTGGTGCAAGCTATCTACTTATCTCCCCAAAGCCCTTGCAAATATCCCAGACTGCAGTCAAGGCAGTCTTCTCAGACTGAGTGGCATCTTCATTTCACCATGTTATTGCTTTAACAAATGAAGCTTTCAATTTTGGTCAGGCCCTGGGCTTCAAGGCACATGGCTTTCCCTTGTTTTGCAGCAAAGTAGGCAATGGCAAAACTGTAGTCACTATTTTCAGGTATCTATCAACCTTCTTCCATTTAAACGAGAGCCTTTACATGCAAGATTAAAACTTTAGTTTATACTTTAGAAACTCAAAGCACATGCCAAGTCATGATTATCCACTAAAAGTAGATATATTGTTTTCTCACATACTTTTAAAGAATAAACTACTGTGACCCTAATCCCAAATTCTGGGGCTACATAAAAAAAAAAAGCAGTAACTGGAATCTCTGAGGGAACTCATGAAAGAAAGAGCTGTATACAGAAAAGTCTTTTCAAGACATTAAGTATTTTTCAGGTTTGCACCGAAGAATTTATTTTTGCCTTAGTGCAACTGAAATATTAACAGTACTTACCTTTGCTAGTAATTCCCTGTTTATTGTGAAGTTCACTGTTCCTGGACTAGCGGTGATCTCACTCACTACAGAATCACATTGTAGCTAAAACAAAAGCAAAACCCCATCATAAAAACAGTTAATTAACTAATTTAATACAATGGAAGCAATCACAAATGGATCATTTAATCCATCCTGTATAGAAAGGGAAGATTTTACTATTCCAGTCCATGCTTAATAGTTTTGAATGTCAGTCCTAAATGTTTTACATTCTTTTTGCTTCAGTCCCTCCATATATCCAGTCTGCATTTATTCCTCTGACTGGGAGCAAGAGTTGTTCCCTTTGTACACACAGAAACTGAGGAATATTTGACAGTTTACAGTGTAAAGGACAGCACATGAAAAATAACAATCGAGATCAACCTCTTAAAGAAAGCCTGAGACAGAAGTTTTGGGCTGCTGTTTCTTAAAGCTCTCAACTTTCATGACAAACAACATTCTGCAGCATCCAATGATATAAAATAAATACACTAAAGGGCAATATGTTAAAAAATGCATTTAAAATTTCCATAAGGCACTCGTTTTGAAAATGCTGAACCCATGAGGAATATTTGGGCACTAAGGCTTTAACGTCAGCCTCCTCCTTGCATGAATTTTGATCTCCACCTAGGCTGACAGGTTTGTCGTCCTCCTTATTTAACTGACTGCCTTTCATAGGCAGGAAACTTTCTCAAGAAAAGAAAAAATGGAAAGCATATAAAAGACAACATAAATCTCTTTATCATTTGGTTATTGTCTTTGACAGAGGCAAGTCATGTTCTTACAGAAGAATATAAGCATAAAAAAAATTCTTTCCCCATGTCAGTTCTCAGGCTTACACACTAATTCAAACATGCAATGAGGTTATGGTTAGCCTTCAAATTCCTTAGCCTTAGGAAGTTCCAAGAGAAACAAGAGTGTTATAGACACTCTCATTAAAGACTCATAGGCACTGTCTAGAGCTTTACCAGCCTTTTCTCCACACACCCCATAGTTCTATAGTAACTGGATTTCCTCATGCCTAAGGCTTGGACTACAATGTACCACTTGGACAACACTGTACCCCTATTCTGTACAAAAGTATAAAAATCAAAGCCCCCTCAGCAAAGAACTAACAGTCCAAAGACGAGACAAGAATCAGCCAGAGGAAATCAAAAGCATGTGGAAAAAAAGACAATTACAATCTTTGACAGACAGTTCTTAGCACTCCACAGCACATTCTCTTTCGTTCAGCATCATGTTACAGTCCTATTATTTAGGCCTTTTCAGACAACAATAATAATTTTGGTCTCTTCTGCCTAACCTAAATTCTCATTTCCTAAGTCACTGATAACATACCATTAAATCTTGAGGGACTTCATCAACTGCTTAGCACAATAAAATTTACTACTTTTTGCTATCTCTTCACCACTTTTCAATGCAAAATGATATTATGGTGACATTACATTACTTAGTTTCTTTGTGGATAACATGATCAATCTAAATAAATTATATCAAGTGTTTCTTCTTTATCTACCACCCAACAAAAGCAATCTAATGGATTAGCAGTATTTTTTCCTTTGTTTAAGCATCATAGGCTATTCAATTTTAGGGCTTGTGTTGATAATATGTTCTTCTTTATTGTTGTAATCACCGTTCCACACAAACATAACCAGAAGAAAAAGAAAGAATTAACATTATGATGGCTCTTACATCTCTAGTGTGTAAACTCATAACTGCTAATTTATGAGATTAACATACTAGTGTACCTTCCCTGCTAATGTCTGAGCTCGAAGCTGAAGATCTTTTGCTGAGTGATCACTAGAACCGTGCTCTGTTATGGAATCAATGGAAAGCTGGAAATCAGCAATTTGCCTAAAAAGAAAAGAGAATGGTTTAAAATCAAGAAAAAACCTATAAAAATGATGTGGAAATTTGGTACACGCCACAAGACTAATCAGCAAGCATAGCTGACTGGTCTCGTGGCACGTACCAAATGTAGCTCAGTTTGTGCGTGCCGCAAGACAAGTGAGCAAGCATAAACCACTCACAGATACCTTAAAGTTCATTACTCATGAATAAATTGAATTTACTTGATAATATCATCACAGTTCTCAAGTACAATACTGAAAAAAAAATCCATAACTTTGCATGTGTTCTAGGTAGTCTCCCTTCAGAGCTCCTTCAGGCTGTAACATTTGCTATTCAATCTGACTATTATAGCTTTTAGTTAAGTTTGTTTTGAGCTTGCTGAAAAGAAAAAACACAGTGATTTAAATAATGTAAGTATCTCCTTATACTTGGATTGGCATATTAGCTGAGATTTGCTTTTCTGTATTTATTTCCCCCAAACTCCTGTTAAACATATGCAATACTAGCCAGAAGCATACTAATAGTATGACAAATTAGTAAGCAAAAGAAAATATAAAACGATATAGTATAGCATTGTAATATAAAATGACACTACCGTTTTTTGGAGACAGGAACTGCAGATATGCACTTTATTAGGTTTTCTGGTGGTAGATCCAAAATTTTTGAAAGCTAAATTTGAAATGAAGAACAAAAGGGTACATAATTACATATACTTTTTTTTTTGGTAAGTAATTACATATATATAGCTTTATAGTAGTATGATGTGAAACTGTACACAGACAAAAAAAAAAAAAAGTAAAACCTTATTAAGGAATGCTAATTTAAGGCCACTACCTGAAAGAACGGGACACAAAGGTAAAGAAATAATAAAGGTGCCCTAGAAAAGGCCAGATCGAACACCATACATGGGTTTTTTGTTGTTTTTTTCCTTGTGGAACCCTGTTATTGCCGCAGAGGCCTTTTCTACCGCCCCAGGCTCTGCATCTTCCTTAGGTCACCAGGCACGCAGAACGCAGAGAACTAAGCCCCGTACGAAACGCAGCCGCATTACAGCAAAACGAAGCTCCCCGCTCTCCGCCTCACGAGCTGGGGGGCTATGGGGAGGGCCGGCCCCAGAACAGAGCCGTTTAAAGGACAGTTACAGGCAGCC